TATATATATATATATATATATATATATTAATAAATAAGTTAACTATGTCGTAATGAATTGCAAGAATACGATTTGAAAGTAACGAGAAACAAATTGAATTTTAACGGCGAAATTGTAAATATTCACAAACCGTACGTGAGACAAATCGAAAAGCATTACGTATTCCATTTCTCGTAACGCGAAAACCATTAGAAAGAAATAATAAAACTTCCATTTTGTTATTCGCAACATTTATATTCTTTTTCCGTTCCGGTGCGGCTGTACGACGACCTGAACACAAAAATTTTAAAACATTTCAGCTTTTTACATAACGATTTATATAGGTAACGTAAATCTGATTTAAAAGAATTTTTAATTTAGCGTTCGACAAAGATCGTCATTTGTACTTTAACGTACGTTGCGGTTTTTATTAAAGTTCCGAACGCTTTTACCAAATGCTTGTTCCAAGTTCCTTGTTCGTAGCAAGTTTCCTACTTTGCCCAATTTTTCATTTAAAATTGGTGCGCCGCGTCGGCGTTGCGCCAGATGGACTAATCCGATCGATATCGAGATGATTCAGTACACACATATAGGATCTCGTGTTTTAAGCGCTTCCTTATTCCATTTATATTGTGCATCCGCGATGCGTCGCGAACGATTATGCGAAAAAGAACAGCCGGAATTCTCTCGTTAAACATCAGGAAAAACGTCATTATGATGAAAGACTAGGACGAATAGTCGCGCAGAAATAGAAAGACGAAGCGCGAGACGAATGATGGTGTTTCCATAAAAATTTCATGTCCGTGCAGTCCTATGGGACGGTCCCCAGTGAAAAGAGCTTAGCGCACAAAGGCAAAGCGTTCATTAAAATTTAGTGCGCATCTCTGAACGGCGCCGATGTTGGCTCTTCGAGCGCTCGCTTCTACTCCGTTCACACCCTCGTTTATCGCATCCATGCATATCGCGACTAAATCATGACTGCACCTTTAATTATGCGTAAAACGCACTCCCTGGATGCGCGACAGTGTCTTCTTAACGGTATACTGAATACTTCAATAAATGATGCAGCAATACAGTTTTCAAATAATCTCGAGTCAATGTTTAATTCTTGACGCAAATGGTATTTTTAATTTTAAATCAAAGGGTGACATAATCGAAGGGTGATGTTTTCTACAACGGTGGTTTTACTCACTTTACTAAGAACTTAAAAAAGATTTTAATCTTAGAGTCGAGAAAATTAAATTTTCGCGATTTTATTAAAAAAGTGGGTTAGATTACATTATCAGATCACATGCTCTAATTATATTTTAATAAAAATATAAAAATACATATATCTGTATTTTCTTTGTATATTAATTGCAAAATGCAAATAACAATGTCATGCAACAAAAATTTAAAAAATTGTTTTAATTTATTATCTTACTGAAAAGCCAGAGCCAGTTTTCCCCGTTAAACAATCTAAAAAATTGTTTTCTTTCTTTGAGAAGTGTCAATATTACTTTATGATATCCCAAGGCGAATATATCTTCTCTCTTACGAGGATCTT